AGAGAGTTATTGTAGTCGTGCCTCTATTGTCGTTGAAGATTCTATCCTGAGTATTTTCACATTGCGCTTGTTCCATAATCATTCCTTTCTCGCAACCAAGATATGATATTTATTATCCAACCAAAGCTTTTGTATTTGTAACTCTCCGACCTCACCGGTCTGTTACCTACTTTGATCGCTGCTGAGAATCCCCATACTAGTCGTCCGACTGTGTTTGCTTCATTTGAAACGAACAATTTTGACAGTGACAGCTCAATAGTTTATTTTTTTTCTTTTGCGTGTTTCTTCCTAATCGCACATACTCATCCGAAAATGTAATGTGGGATATAACTCTTCGGTACAAAATTTCCGTTGGTTGGAACACAGCTAAAGCTCATTCTGTAGAGAAATTGGACTCAGCATCAAAGTAATTGCGTGAGAGGCAGCAGGGCAGGAAATCCATACACGTATAGCCTAGACGACCAATGTTTCTTCTTGTATGTTGATCATGTACCCTTGCCTCCTCCTTCGTTACCCTCTTGTCACTACCTCGACCCCGTGCATCTTCTCCCTGAAGTGAATCAGAATCTCAGGGGGAAATGCTTTAAAGTTATATTTTAGTGGAACAAAGTACAAATCTTGGTAAGGAAAGCGCAATTTCCAAGATTTTCTTCAAGATTATTTCATATTGCAGTCGCTGAATGTAGCAACGACAGTCAATCGATCGATATCTTTTAACTGCCCCAATATGACTGCAGCCGCTGCAGCGACTGCGGTGAAAGAGCTCTCACTAGCCCTCTTCATTTTTAGAAGATTTGTGACTAAACTTAGCACAAACGGTAAAAATTAGTCTGTAGTTTGAAGATTTCATTAGATGATGGAGTAATATCTGATCCATGGCAAAGGCGGTTACCCAAATAAGCTGAGCGCAGGCGTCACTGGCGCGTGCGGGCACTTGCCAACAAGGAGCGCGCGCATGCGCAGAAAGCCAGACATATATGAAAAAATGATAAGAGATTGCGAAGAATTGAAGGATCAAAAGAAAAGACGCAGGAGGGGTGACGATGTACGCACTGATACGAGCGTATTTATGCAAAGGTGAACGATGATTGTGGTTATACATACAACGTTGACAAGACATGTATAGCGGGTAAATTTGTGAACAGTAGCCTACCTCCAGTGAAAGCGATGAGAAGAGTTTAGAATATTGGAGAATACAGCCTAGAATACAAGAAAAGCGGTGTTGAGACCCTAAAGCGATCGGCTAGCTATTGTGTCACGCGCTCCATGCACAACACTTTGTCCGCGTGCTGTTTGCGCGCCAGTCCCGCATGCGTTCACCTTATTTGGATGACCGCCTTCGTCATGGATCACATATTACTATGAGCTGCGAGTGCTGCCCAAGTCCTCCGCGCTGTTGACCGCCGTCGCGCGCTGCGGCTGTATATGTGGCACTCACAGGTGATGGGATGCACCTAAAAATGTTGCTATTTGAGGGAAAGAAATGTTCGGTGCAACTGATAAGCCAAATGTATCTCCGATAACGGCGCTTTATTGAGATGATGAAATTTTGGTTTATAGGAAGTATAATTTTTGGTTTTTTGAAAATTTTCGCTTCGCAAAACATTTCGAAGCAACTTTTGCTCACAAAAGCTTTTGAAGCCGTTTTCTACCTTCAACAATTTGTGTGATTATAAAACTGACAACAAAAAGGAGCAGGAAAGAAAACGATTTGTACAAGTTTGATGTGTTTTTTCTGGAGGCACCAGCACTTTGATGAGCTAGAGTGAGCTGTTTTAGCAGCTACGATTCGGTGTATCGGTAAGTACCCACTGCTGAAGCTATCAAGAGGTTTGGCCTAGTGTATTTCACTAATTTGACAAATGCGAAGATCTCGCATCTCGGTTGAGTATCTAACGCTTATCCCCCGTTGTGACCCTCTGAGAAAGTTGAGGACTTTCAAACTCACAAGGGAACGATACTCGGTGTCCGTGGCCCTTTGAGATAAAGTGTATAAAGGCTGCTGCATGACGAAGGCGCAATGGCGATATCAGGTGAGCAGGCGCGAACGCGACGCGCGCGTATCCTCACCGTTGTAGATCCCACACCTCATGCGCTCTGCGGCTAATAAAGCCGCGTTCGCGACCGAAGGTATTGCGCCTTCGTCATGCAGCAGCCTATACCTTTACACTCGTTTCGAAACACTAATTCCGAATCTGACTTCAGTTTCTGCTAATCATTTTTCTAAAAGAAGTTATAAATGATTTTCGCGTCAAGTTTGGCCACTCAAGAAAAATGCGATCGAATCCTCGAAGATTTCTAACTTTCAAAAAGGAGCTTAATTGAGGCAATGCAAAACTGAAAAACACAGAAGAGTTTGAACCTACATTTCACTTGTGAGGCTGTCGCACCAACTACCACACCACAGCGTACCAGTTTTATTTGAATTCCACTGTATTTCGCTTGTATGGCCAAACTTGGCCCGAAAATCCTTCATAACATCTTTTAGAGAAATTATTAGCAGAAACGGAAGTCAAATTTGACATCAGCGTTTCATGACGAATGTAACGGCATACATCTCATCTCAAAAGGCTACGGACCCAAGTATCGTTCCCTTGTCAGTCAGAAAAGACCTAGCAGCCAGAGTTTGTTTATGGTTCAAGCATGCATCTGTTTCCAACCTTGTCATCGTGATGCAATAGTCGAATCAAAATTTGGCTGCTTCTCGAAAAAAATCCTAAATTCACTCTACAGCCGAAGTGTGCTCTGTACGCAGGCTAAATCTTTAGGGTTTACATGGTAAACTTTTCAGACACTTCTCTCTTTTTTTTTCAAATTGCGCACCAAAGTAAAGCAAGCCTTCCCCTCTGAAAATGAAAACCATTTTCACGATTTCGCCATGATAGATGCTCTTCCATATCATAAATATATAGACGTTTTTTACCTGGAATGTTTTGCATGTCTGGTGTCTCAATCAAATTTGAAAATAAGGTCGTTGCTCTATACAGTATTTTTCGCAAATATTTTCATATTTCGCAAAAGAACAACTCTTATAAATGCAACTAGCGCTATGTATGTGATAGTGCAAAAAGTGTGCTCTACAACCTCAGCTCAGAATGGTCCAAAAAAGCTTTGGCTTCATTCAGTTGCAGAGCAAAATATGGTGTTATAAAAATCCCACTTTTGCTTTTTTGAAACTGCTGTTCTAATTCTTTTAATTCTCACATTCTTAGGAATCGTTTCAAATACTGCCAGTCTTTTGTGGAGTAGATTAGGGCATTTCACGACATAACTTTGAGCTTATGCTTCTTTGTGGCATTGCTGCAAAGTTAGTGCCGCTAATTTTGGCGCACCCTGTATATATAAAGTACTAAATTATCTATGGAACATCGAACGTGCTTTCATTTTCGTAGTTTTCCGCACCAAAAGGAAAGGCCGATTCGCGAATAAGCATACGATTCTATTGGGTCATTCCGAAAGTAATTTCGCTTTTTTCGAAGGGAAACGACATTTGATGAAACAAAGTTTTCTGGAAAATCTTGGAAGCATTCGATGCAGCATTTCATCTTCTTTCTAATAGTTATGAAGTGTTGCAGCGGACTCAATGAGCTCCCGAAAAATTACCAAATCTGCAACTCATCCTTTTTGAAAAGCTCAAGTTTCACAAATTTTCTACGTTTTTATTTCAACCCTCGGAAACCCAACCAACAACTCGATAGAGCAGACCCTCCGTGATGCACAACAATTTTTCTCTAATTTTTCTCTTTTCCATATCTCGTCATATTTTTTAGTAGAATTACAATTGATTTCATCAATTTCCATACTTGGTCAACTCAAACCTCATAGAACATCCAACGGTGAGCAGCTCGGGTGCCATTCGATGCAGCTTGTTCTCTTCTTTCGGATGATGTTTTTTTTTTTTGAAGATCCATGGCCTTTGCGAACAAAATTAATAATTCGTATTTTCGAACCTCCCCGGGCTGTATGCGAAACATTCGAAATTAGGTATTTCGATTCTGTAGACTCTCATTTGCTTTGTAAAATTAGTGTTAGATTTCAATATCATCAGGGAAGTCTCGAGTTCCGAAGATTTATTGATCTTTGATGCGATTGTGTCCGACGTAGGCCTGCCGAAATCGGTGATTTCAGTAAAAAAAAGTCTTTTGAAAAATGGCGAGCTATGTGAAGGAAAAAAAAGTTGTACTGTTTCTGTAGGGTTTGCCCTATCGAATCTTTACTCGCACTCCTTCGGAGGGTCGATATAAAAATTCAAAGAATTCGTGAAAGTTGATCATCTCAAAAAGCATAGGTTGCAGATTTTGGTAATTTTCCAAGAGTTCATTGAATATGCTGCAACAAGTTCATAGCCGTTAGAAAGAGGATGAAATGGTGCATCAAATGCTTCCAAGATCTCTTAGAAATCTTTGTTTCATCAGTTGAAACGCCCCTTCGAAATAAGCAAAATTACTTTCGGAATGACCTAATACTTGAGTGAACATATAAAAGTGCAGTCATAGTAACTCTAGACTCTTAATCTAGTCATAAACGTTCTATCATTGATACAGCACTTACAAAAACATCTGCGGAACAGCACCAGGCTAAAAAACAGTAATTTATTCACAAAAAAATGAGCGGGACCAAAATAGCTGTCATGGCAAAAACATTCGACACGGAGGTCACGGCAATAGTCACTGCAGATCATGTCTAAGAGATCATCAGAGAAATTGACAAAATCGAAAATTTACGACTATAGTGAACAAATAGCAATATAAACATCGCAGATATCTTGAGGTGTCAGCCACACGTCGAAACATACAGGGAGCGCAACGGATAGGGCGATATACTAATCATTGAGATCGTTGCAAACGAGAATGAGACGATACCCACATTAAAGCAAAGGCAAAAAAATAAAGCTATGGCCTAGATCATAATGACTCGTGCATTTAACTTTAAACGAGAAAGAAGTAAACAATGGCATTGTTATTTTACGAACCAACTGACAATGACAATACTATGCATCATCATTCGATCTGAGTGTTCTGCGGTTGCTCCCACATTTGGGTAACCGAGATGAGCTGGGTGAACACAAGTGCCAAGGGGGTTTTGAATGCTGTCTTTACTTTTCGCTCCCGCTGACATGTGAGAATCTGCTTGAAAGCACGTCGGAAGTCGCGCGAGAATCGCGAGTAGATCAACGGGTTCAACATAGAGTTCAGATAGCCTGCCCAAGTCACAATTGTAAAAATCCTGTCCTTGTCCGCGAAACACTGCAAAAATAGTAAGTAGAGCAGATTTACTCAATGTTCATTCAAGGTCTTTGATAGAATCTGATCTGGAGAATGTAGCGTACTCAAAAGAAAAAACGAGAGACAGAGTCTTTGCCAGGCTCACTGGGAGAGCGAATGAATAGAGTTTTTAATTTTCCAGATGTTAAAACGTTTTTGAAACTTTCAACATCGCAACTAGCTTTTAACTTGCATTGCGATTGCAAAGAATGATTGGACATGAATTCCTCTTCTTGATACATATGAAACAATTTGTAGAAAAACCGAGGAGGTTACCAATCTTAGAAATTATCGTGCAAGATTTGTGAGCCGTCTTAATAAAGTGAATTACCTTAAAATACTTACCAATACCTTATTTCACTAAAAAACTTTATGTTCAGATCCACATAGCCTATTATTTAAAAAAAATCAGTTCCACGTGTAGTTACAAAGACACAAAACCCCTCGTGAGCATAATGCTAAAGATTGAGACTGCCTATGCTACAGTCAGATTTGTCACTAAGGTCAGTCGTGACAGGGGTCAGTCCTAGATGAAGGCGGCTGCACATGTAAGCGAAGCGTGCGCGAGCGTACGAACAAACGCGCGAAAGCGGTTTCGCCGCTTCACAGAGTAAATCGACCGCTTTCGTCGGAATCATCCTTTAATTCAAAGCAGATTTTACCAATAGCGAAAACTTACCGACTTGCAAATAACAGTTAATGGAGTGAACACGAAGAAGGGTGTCCAACATATGATGAATGCTCCTACAACTATGGACAGCGTCCGTGCTGCGCGTTGTTCGTGGACGTACTTCACCATCTGACGCGATTTTTCTCGAACATTCAATTTTCGCCTTGTTGTTTGCGGCGAACTTACGGACGATTTCTCGCTGACGTCATCGCGTAGTGTTTGCTAAATAGAAGGAAAGTTACGGTAGATTTGGCGCTAGTGGTAGAAGTGTACAGGGATGGAGGAGAGAGGTCTCATACCGTACTGCGTACGGTATGAAACATTTCAGCAAAGTCCTACGTAATTGTCCTATTCCTTTTCGGGGAATAGGGCAATTACGTAAAATGGATGACAACTTTTTCTACTTTTTACAACGTTCCTCAAAATGATCAGAACTTGAAATTTGTGCATTTACACAAAAGATTGTCTTAATTACCAGCAGTGCATATACGATACTGCCTCTGGCTTCCATGAAAACAGCAAACTAAAAAAGTCGCTTTAGTCTCTAAAGAAAACGATACTTGGTGACCCCGGCCATTCATAATGGTTTGTATATCAAAAAATGCGTCTTTTAATGCTGGTTCGAATACTTTCTTCCATATCTGCGAAACGAGAACCTAGATGAAGTTATATTTATTTTTTTCAGAAACGAATTGCGTTACTGCGGAAGGTGAAAATCATTCATAAAAATTTTGCTTTCCTCTCCAAATGCTAAAAATGGTTTAGATAGGTATATTTACAACGTTACACCTTTCAAGATTCTTCCCAATAGCTTCAAACGGCAAAATAGATCAAAGTGGGTGATTTTAACTACCTAAAAGCACGCAAATTTTCTACGAAAAAAAGTTCATAAGTGCCTTTATATGATCGTTTCGCAGATTTCGAGCACAGATTTAGAATCAGCGTTTCGGGCTGCACCTTATGGTATACATCGCATTCTAAATGGCCGGGGTCACCAAGTAACCTTTTCTTGTAAGGAATATTTTCTCTGCAGAACCACATAAATTTGATAGCAGGCATAGGAAGGCTCGTCTCATTAAGCTGACAAAAAACCTCTTCCCGATTGAAGATTATAAAATTTGGAGAATTATGCGGCATAGGAGACAAAATTTTTCGTTGCGGTCATGTGAACACAGTTTTCCTCGACGGAATGGGCGGTTTATTTACATTTGTAGCACTAAGTACATAACTGAAGACTACTGTACAATTAGCTGATTAGGCAAACGGAGGTTTCTATCTGATCCTGCTGTCTTGAATAAACTGTGAAATCTAATGCGATTCAAATGCTATCTGACAGCTGATTCACCTCCTGAATATAGCTATAGACAACCCAATAAGTGCGAACGGCTTGGTTTTCGTCATACCTGCCTAGGAAAAAAGTTATAAGAAAAAGCTTCACTTACGGGCGATTCCACACTAAGAGTACTAGAGCGAACAGATGGAACACCGGCGGCTCGCACCCGTAAAACGCAAGCGTTGGCATTGTTGTTAGATTCGGTTCTTAGCAAAGGTGCTCGTGGACTGATTAGTGCATGTTCTCCTCGATCCGTAGTCAAGCTTTTGCACGACACCTGAATTGCTTTTCATAGAATAGTCACATTAGTAAGGAAATGCTACTTGTTTGAGCAGAAGACGCGTTGAGTCGCGATTTGTTCGAGTTTGTCGAAGACTCGTGCTCATTTTTCGACCTCTTCCGATGTGAATTCGAAGGGTTGGCTCTGCCTCACTTGACATGACGCTTTCTGAATCAGTCGGCAGCCTTTTTCCATTTCTGCACTTCACCTGAAAAAGTTTCCAATGATTCTTTAGTAACCACCTCAACCATTTGCTGAAGAAGAAGAACAGCATGAAGCATGGCTGGCTCTGACCACACCCTATGTGCTTGCTCTTTCCAGCGAAAAAGTCGCGAAACTTCAACAGGAACACACCCAATAAATATTGTTACTTTACGCTCCATCACTCAAATCTTCAAAAACATTGGTTTTGATTGAGCATGTCAGGACAAAGTGTGGCGAAATTTTTAAAAATTATTCAATTATGAAAATGTGCGAGTGACTTGTTTATACTTCTACGTAATCTAAATAGTTTTCAAAATTTTTAAAACTCAAATTAGTCTCGGCCTCGTCCCCTTTTTCAAAATTTCGGGGTTTGAGCCCGCAAAGGACCTTGAGATCATCTCAAAAAAATTTTCGAAGTGCGTGACTAACGCCACGCGCCTTTCTTCTAAAATTTGTCCCCCCCCCCCCCCAAAACGGAAGTTCTGGACCGCCACTGATGTGCACCGATCTTCGAATTAGCACATCATAAAAGTTGACAGAGCCAATCGTCTAGTATTACTATATTTTTTCGTTTGAAGACTGATGTACAAGAGCTGTAAGAACTTTTTGTAACCACTTTCATAAACAAAATCTTTTTATAAAATCTGAAAGTCTGACCTTTTTCATGCCCATGCGCATTCCACGCGAGTGACGTGTGGCAATAATGAAGACTTTCCCATATGCAAATAGAATCAAACAAAGAGGAATATAGAACGAAACCAGCGAGGAGAATCCGACATACATGGCGCTGTCAGTGAATAGGCACTTATTCTGAAAGATGATGTCAAAATTTGTCTTACGAGGAAGCGTTATTTGGGATATCAATCTGTAATTTCGTTTTTAGGAAAGAAAAGATATAATGGTAAATGAAAACCTTGTTTTTGTACAAATGTGGTGAGGTGGTTCGCCACCAAAGTATGGCTGGAAATGATAAGCAAGCGGACACCATCCAAACGCAGCAAATGGCCATCAGAATGCGCTTTTTTGAGACTTTGTCTCGATATCCTATAGGATCTTGACCGGCCATATACCTTAAAAATAAAAGGATGTTTGGGATCTTGCAAGAGGGAAGAGAGGATATGAGGGAAAAATCAAAAGTCCCATACCGATCAAGACTTATAACGCAGAGGTTCCATATTGAGCTCGTGGATGCTAGAATATCCATGGCATGGAATAGATCGCACATAGCCAATCCTTAAATAACAAACGATTAACCGAGAATAGATTTGTGTACAAATTGTGACCCCTTAGATATTATACTATTAACTTTGCTCTTTTATCTCACCAATTTTTAGGAACCAAAGAAAATATCATACATCTCACCATTCCTTAGAAACCAAAGAAAATATCATACAAATGATAATTGTGCTTAATATGTGTGCCTCACACTATTGCCCATTGCGCGCTTATCCCCAACTTGTGAAAATTTCTTACATTTTTTCTCTTTAAGCAGTAGGTCAAAACAGCTGTTAGTAATCATAATCAAAATATTTTATTTAATGGGGTGGTTCCAATGACTCTTCACATTTAAAAGTCATGGAGTGTTGAGACCAGCATGCAAACGCACATATCAACTCAAAAATGACTCGCAACTTTGACACAATTCGTCATTTTCACAAAAAATTCTTGTGCAACTTACCCAGTAGCCATTCATTGTTAGTCATTTCTAATAAAGAGTTCAGAGGCATTACCACCAAACCAACGATAAGATCGGCAATCGCCAGCGATATAATAAGGTATCTAAAAAGGAGTATTTTTAGCCTTTGCAATAAATGCAAGTGAGTAGTTTTCGCTTTTCTGGCGATCTATTCGTTCTTTTACTTGTCTTCGAATCCGTATTGATGCATAAGATATTGCTCAAAGTTAGGGAATTAGCATGCCCCTCTCTCTAAATTAGAAGACTAGCTCAATCCTTTGACCCCCTTTTCAACCTTAACACAATATGCAAATGTTTTTACTATCGCTGAGAAATGCATACCAGATTTTCTTGGTAAATTTGATCAAGTTTTTCCATGAAAGATACCATATGTGGCAGTCAAATTCAATTAGGCATACATGAGAAGAATTGAATATGCCTCTTTTAGTTTTTTTTGATGTTTTTCTATTTGGTTGACATTTTCTACATTCCTTCTAAACAATAGTTTAATACATATGTCAGTGGCTGGCCGGCAAATTGATTCGGGCTGGGTTCTCTTTCGAAGTGTCTGTAAGATCTTTACCTATCGGACATATAGCCAAAGAGATTGACTTTTTGTTTCACAAAGTGAATGCGAGAAGTGCAGAACAAAATATCGAAAAGTTACGGTGAGTTTGGGTTACGGCACTTCGGGGCAATCCCAAATAATAGCAAAGTTTTCAAATGATAATGTGGATTCTTTCCCGAAATATCAAAAACCTCACTTGACCCTTAGGAATAGATGCTATTTATTTGCTAACTACTTCTAACATAATCAAGTGTATAAAATACCTACCCAGTCGGATTCCGGAGATATTTTTTTGTACACACGGCTATGACCACAAGGCAATTACCAGCAACAGTGAGTACACAAAAGGTAGCCAACAAAGCACCAAGTAAGGGATGCCGCCATGTGATGTTATCTTAAACATAGTTTTGTCAGTTTTGATTCAAAATGTGCGATTGCATATGGAGCGCTGGATTCCACGACTTGTGTCCTTGCAATTCAAAAGCTTTCGTTTTTTAACCAATCTTATAATGTTTTACTCGTAAGCAACTCACATTTTCGCAACGCTTGTTTTATTGAAATATCTAGACTAATCAAAAAAAAACCCTCTGCTTTTAGGCATCAGTAAGCATCTCTGGAGTTCATTCAGATGTTTCCCTCATATTTTCACAACTTTCCATTTTTCCATCTATCTGTCAAAATATCAATCTCGCCCATTGAAATCCTTTCTCGCCTCAAAATAATCAGAGCAACTGATGCACTAGTCAAAAATTTGAGAAAAGTAAAAATGACCATTTATACCTTTCCGAATGGAATTTATGCACAAAAAAAAAAAACAAAATGAGAAAAATGGCAAAGAAGAAAGACAAAGAAGCCGTGTGACATCGCGCGCGATATGCAATGCGTACATTCTAAACTAATACCACAGCACCACGTATAGAAGCAAGAAAATTTCTTACGGAAAAAAGCGTCATCTGCGAGATGTAAGCTGGAGTTTTGTTGAAGTATTTCATCCATCGGACCCGTAATAATCCTTCGAAGGTGGCGCTTCGATGATGATTGTTCAAGACACAGCAGTGGACGAGAAGACGTTAGAAACGTTAGAAACTACGACTGAAAAAATTACAGTGATACAAAAATACTCAGCAAAGCGAAAGTTATAGCGATTTGCTCATTGCGAAGAATAAATAGAGACAGAGGAAAATGAAATCTTTGCTTCTTATTCATGTGGATGCTATGTGAAAAGGCTCACATTATGTGCACTTAGGGTAATAATTCAAGCTAAAATCTTCAGTCAGCGGTATTATTAGTGCTATGTATGTAGTGTATAAATCTAATTTCTCAGCGTTGTTTACTAGCCAAGCGGCTTAATGAGGCAACTGCGATTATTCTTTTCGAAGAAAAACGGATACAAGAACTTCGCACAAACAATGCTGTAGTTCATTGCGCAAAATATGTCACTCTTCTTCATTGGACTGGGACATATTTACTGTAATTTTTCACTGCATTATAAGAAATAATTGGAATCTTGACAATCTGTGAACAAACGAACGAAAACATTTTGAATTTTAGTAGTAGTGCTTGTTACTTTCAAACATGTGAAACCATTTTCACTAATATGAAAAAATTGAAATCAGCCAATGCAGTCCTTTCAAAATGGGACTCACAAGATTTACGAATATTTGAGATGCAATTGAAAATTTTTTCGAAACGGACGATTTTCTGCACTTGACGAGACTTTTTGCTTTACACCGTTTCCCCCGTTCCTTGGAAGATTTCTGAAGCTGCTTTAAAAAACTTTTTGCTGTAGATACTTTGTGCATCTGATCGAAAAATGTTTCACATAAGAATCTAAAGACAACATGATTGCCTTCTTTTCATTTATTAAATTAGAACTTCAGCTCCGCAAAGCTTTTCTTCATTACTTAACACTCAAGGGTCACAAGCTGTCATTTTACTATTACATCAACACCTGTGAAGGTATTTCCGAAGGCATTTTCAGAGTGGATTACTGCAAGCAAAACGCAAAACATACTTAGCAAAAGTAAACATTAGACACAAACGCTTTAATAAATCACTCTTTAGAACAGGATATCTGTAATAAATCTTCCTTTACGATATAACGATAGTTTTGTCTGGGCAAGTAAGGAAAACAAAACTTTTTTGAGTTCAAGTATGGTCTGATTCACTAGATGCTTGATTAATACAACATGCATTATTACAATATTTTTTAAAAAGTTATTTTTGTACCATTGACCAGAGGAGTCAGGGTACAACTTGTATACTGTGCATCAGAACGCATTATAGTGGGATATTGCAGTACACTCCTGTACCGACTACGCTCCGCATCTCAACAGATATGTCGCCCTTGAAACCGGAAATTTGAAAAATTTTTGTTTGGTAAAGCTGTTGGAAAGTCAACAGAATTTAACACGATAGTAATTATTTAAATTATATATCGCATACAGCCCTTTTTGTTCTACGTATAGCGAAGCGCTTGTCTGAGCAGGATCTGTACCAGATCCTTTTACGAACAAAATGGCACTTTTTGAAATTTTCAACTGCTTGATATAGAATAAGAAATGCAATTTACTCTCTCTGCAGGCAGGCACGTGAACAGACCTCAGAGGCAGCGCCCCTGAAAAGTCATGATTTGTACCAGGACCCTCCCCCCCCCCCCTTGTGGATAATATGAAAAGCACGGTCTCAGACCCCTCTCTAGAGCACTGCTTTCGAATCGACATCTGCTGGCCCTTATAGAATAAGCAAATCTGATTGCTTTGCATTGAAATTCATGATAAGTAAATTACCATATAGCTACTGAGGATGCAGAGAGATTTTTTTATAATAGATAGAATTGAATTTGCTGAATATGAGTAATCGGATAGTCTGAAAAAAAACTGTCCCCAACATGGCAACATTTTTTTTGAGGATTTGTTGTTTGAAAATCGTGCGAATGCCCAATTTTTTGTGCAGAAGCGGAAATCAGCATTAGAATGGATTTGGTACATTCTGCATACTATAAGAATTTCATTTTTTTGAGCAAAGTTACCTATAATTTCACACTTTTACAGTAAACAAGATCATTTGAGGCAAAGAAGTTTCAAGAGTCATTTGAGTATAGGTTGAGCTTGGGCACTTTTCACTTCTAGAGTGTTTCAAGGTCAGAAGTTGTGTGGTGAAGTAGAAAAATGTCACTTGAAAGCTATGCTGCAATTTCGATTGACTGAGATTTCCAGCCTTCAATGTTGATTTTCCGGCTATTTTATTTCAAACCAAATAAATCCTGCAATTCTGAAAATCTTGCAACCAAAACAAAATGACGTTTATCCACGTACAAAATGCTTAAGAGGATGTATAAAAATGCAACTACGAAGCTTTTCAGCGCTCAAAATTTTCCAACTTTGCACTTCCGCACTATGTCACGGCTGCCATACATATGTAACACATTGTGTGACGAGAGCTGTAAAATGTAAAGAATGTATTTTCATGCAAAAATAATGAATTTCAGCTCGATTACAGACTTCATCAGGACAGTGCAAGAATTTTATTTAGAGATCTACAAAGAAAACATATCAATGAAGGAGTGCACCAAGATTCACTTTTCCATATCTAGGGTTGGAGCGCTTCCTCTAGATTGTCATCGTTTTAACATTTCAGAAAATAAATGGCAAAAGAGATGCCAAGAGGTTATTCATTTACTTCGAAGTTGGCAGGATAGAAGGACAATGTCTAAACATGGAGAGATCTTGTAACTAACATAATGCAGAAAAGTTCAGTTTTTCATCTTACCTCCATACAAACTGGCTCAACAGAAATCTCGGTGAACAGAAACCTTGGGTGAATTTTTGTCCAAAAGTTATTCTTGTTCAGAGCCCTACATACCTTGGAAACAATCATCCATAAACAGCCTACACCACCCCTCGTCTTTTTCTTCAAAACCTGTTCAAAACAAGAAAAGTAAGCCTTCAACAATTTAAAGGCTTTGTTTCTATCCTCTTTTTTTTCGAAGAAGTGTAAACAAAAATCATAAGAACTGCAAAATAGCATCTTTTATGCCGGATGTTATATGAGCCTGTCCAATGCAGGGTTTGTTTGATAAAGCTTTCTTTGCTAAAATAATGCTGATTAGCTAAACAAATGGAGCAAATGAATAGCTGAGTTCAAACATAATTTTGTGAAAGTGTTAGGAGAAATGCTGAGAGAAAAGCCGGCCAATTCATTCAAAACACCGTAATATTTTCAACTTTTCTCATCATTTCAGGTTTAAAGTATGTATTATTTTACAGTACATTTTATTTACAGATCTGTACCACCACACTAATCATGTTAATTTTAATCTAATTAATTAATTAATTCTAATCGTTAATTCTAATCTAATTTGTCTCAAATCTCAATCCGATTGATGGAACAATTCTGTTCCTCATTGTCAGTTATTTCCTTAGTCATAAACTATTGATTCCTTTTCTTATTGGGGAATAAACACCTCGAGTCGGAATTAAAAG